TGAACTTGAGGAAGAACTTCCTGACTGTTCAGCAGTGGAACTTTTTGCCCCGGAGTGTGGTGGAGGCTCCTTCTTTGGAGGCTTTTAAACAGAGGCTGGATGGCCATCTGTCAGGGGTGCTTTGAATGCAATATTCCTGCTTCTTGGCAGAATGGGGTTGGACTGGATGGCCCATGAGGTCTCTTCCAACTCTTTGATTCTATGATTCTATTCTGTGATTCTATGATTGTATAATTAATAAAAATGATCTGAAAAAAGAGAGGTTATGATACGATACAGTATTTTGACAGTATTGTTGTTGGTAGACCATTCTGTGTTGCTCAAAGCCCCAGAATTAATTCCCATTCTTTCTGGATAGGGTTTAAAATGCCTCCTCTCATCGTTTCCAGTCACTAAACATGACTACGTTTTAAAGCACTGAAATGTAAATAGTATACTTTCATGGCATGAACTCTTTTCCTTCCTTTCCACTTTTTTCTCTTTTTTGCAGCTTGCTTTTGGAAGTACTGTGTCACCAACTGAGGTCAAGGAACCGCCTGGCTTTTTCTCTGTATCCGTGTCTGCTTCTTCAGATCCCATCCTGCCTAAATTGTGGGTTACCTGCTTGCAGCCAGGCTTCATCACAACTCTTCATCTCGAGCAAACCATGGTCATGTTATGATGTGAAAGAAGGTTGCACTGCATTGCAGTTTCAAGCCACAGTGGGGGCAGCTTAAAGAAAGCTTTGAGAGAGCATTTGCAATACAGATCTAATAAATATTCTCTAATACAGCTCCATTAATACCATGACACAGATACTTGGTTTTGTCCGTATCATAATAGAATGAAGGAGAGTGGGACTTTGTTATTTCTGCCTCGGTTTTTCTCCATCTTTCATTTCTTTTCTCCTCTATATGAGGCAGATCAAACTGAGAGTGCTTCTACACTACAGAATTAATGCAGTTTGACACCACTCTGTGAATCCTGTGAGTTTTGTGAGGCACCAACACTCTTTGGTAGAGAAGGGTAAAAACATTGTAAAACTACAACGCCTAGGATCCTATAGCATTAAGCCATGGCAGTTAAAGTGGTGTCAAACTGCATTAATTCTGTGTGTTGTCAAAGGATTTCGTGGCCAGAATCACTGGGTTACTGTGAGTTTTCTGGGCTGTATGTTCATGCTCCAGAAGCATTCTCTCCTGACGTTTCACCCACAACTATGGTAGGCATCCTCAGAGGTTCTGATGTATGTTGGAAACTAGGCAGGTGGGATTTATATATCTGTGGAAAGCCCAGGGTGGGGGAAAAAACTCTCGTCTGTTGTAGCCAAGTATGAATATTGCAATTGGCCACCTTAACCAATTGGCCAACTTAATAATAATAATAATCTTTATTTATACCCTGCCACCATCTCCCCGAAGGAGACTTGGGGAGGCTAACATGAGGCCAAGCCCAAAGAGACAATACAGCAAAATAAAATACAAAATGCAAACAACAAAAATTACATCAGAATAAAATACATGCAATAGCAAAATAAAATAAATAAAGCAAATTGACATAATATAAAATTGAAAAAAGTGGTGTCAAACTGCATTAATTCTGTGTGTTGTCGAAGGCTTTTGTGGCCGGAATCACTGCGCTGCTGTGAGTTTTCCAGGCTGTATGGTCATGTTCCAGAAGCATTTTCTCCTGACGTCTTGCCCACTTCTATGGCAGGCATCCTCAGAAATTGTGAGGTCTGTTTACAGATATATAAACCCCACTTACTTAGTTTCTAACAGACTTCACAACCTCTGAGGATGCCTGCCATAGATGTGGGCGAAACGTCAGGAGAGAATGCTTCTGCAACATGTCCAGACAGCCCAGAAAACTCACAGCAGCCCACTGCATTAATTCTACATATGTAGATACACCTTGAGAGTGACTGACCCAGGGTCATCTTGTGGATTTCTTGACTTTATAGAAATCTCAACTTGGATGTCCCAAGTCTAGAGAAGCACACCAGATTTTCACATTTCGGCAAGGCCTTCTGCTCTATCATTGGTCAAGGCTTAAAATAAACTTGCCAAAGTTGAGCCTTCAGGAGCAAGGGAAAATAAACTCACCCGTTAATTGACATATATATAAAATAAACTTTATTCATGTTAGAATGATACATTGAAAACTAGAAAATCTGTATTTCAAAAGACAGAATTCTCCTTATTTTGTGCAATAAAGGACGTTTAGGAGTGCTCTGTGAAATAATACAATGAAATATCTTGCAATGCCTTAAAATCAAATACATATAAAGGAATGACAGACCCAGCTAGACAATTTAGTTTTATGTGTTTTCAAAGGCTTTCATGTCTGGAATCACTGGATTGCTGTGAGTTTACCGGGGTGTCTGGCCATATTCCAGAAGCATTTCTCTCCTGACATTTTGCCCACATCTATTGCAGGCACCCTCAGACCTCACAACCTTTGAGGATGCCTGCCATTGATGTGGGCAAAACATCAATAGAGAATGCTTCTGGAACATGGCCAGATAGCCTGGAAAACTCACAGCAACCCAATTTAGTTTTATTTGTCAGTTCTAATGAGAAGCAACTCTCTTGATTTTGAAAAGGGATTGAATCCTTCCCATCAGTTACTGCCTGATCCTTTTAACTGGAATTATATTAGCAGGGACTGTACCCAAGAACATTTCCACGCAAAAGGCACGCTCAGCTATAGCTCAAGCACCAGTTGCTTCCAAATAGTTGTGTGAAGAAATGGGCTGAGACCAATGAAAGCAGGCATGGGCAAACTTTCTAATTTGGGGGCTGCATGCTAATACTCCCTGCTAAGAGGACTGGTGCTCAGTGGTGGGAGGAAGGAAGAGAAAGAGGAAGGAAAGAGAGAAGGAAGGAATGATGAAGGGGAAAGGGGAAAGAATGGAAGGAGAAAGAGGGAGAGAGGGAAGGAGGGAGGAAAGAGGGAAGGAAGGGAAGACAAAAGGGAAGGAAGGAAGGAAGGAAGGAAGGAAGGAAGGAAGGAAGGAAGGAGGGAGGAGGAAGAGGGAGGGAGGGAGGGAAGGAAGGAAGGAAGGAAGGAAGGAAGGAAGGAAGGAAGGAAGGAAGGAGAAAGAGGAAGGGAAAAGAGAAGGAAGGAATGATGAAGGGGAGGAAGGGAAGAATGGAAGGAGCAAGAGGGAGAGAGGGAAGGAGGGAGTAAAGAGAGAAGGAAGGAAAGACAAAAGGGAAGGTAGGAAGGAAGGAAGGAAGGAAGGAAGGAAGGAAGGAAGGAAGGAGGGAAGGTGAAGGAGGAAGGGAAAGAGAGAAGGAAAGGAAAAGGAAATGAAAGGAAGGAGGAAAGGGGAAGGAGGAAGTAAAAAGAAGGAAGAAAGGGAGGAAGAGAAGGATGGAAGGAAGAAAAGAAGGGAAGAGGGAAGGAAAGAAAGAGAAGAAAGGAATGACGATAAGGTGGGAAGGGAATGGAGGGACGGAGAAAGGGAGGGAAGCAAGCAAAGGCAGGAGGGAAGGAAAAAGAGAAGGAAGGAAAGAAAAGGGAAGGAGAAAGAGGGAGAGAGGAAAGGAGGGAGGAAAGGGGGAAGAAAGGGAAGACAAAAGGGAAGGAAGGAAGGAAGGAAGGAAGGAAGGAAGGAAGGAAGGAAGGAAGGAAGGAGAAAGAGGAAGGGAAGAGAGAAGGTAGGAATGATGAAGGGGAGGAAGGGAAGAATGGAAGGAGAAAGAGGAAGGGAAAAGAGAAGGAAGGAATGATGAAGGGGAGGAAGGGAAGAATGGAAGGAGCAAGAGGGAGAGAGGGAAGGAGGGAGTAAAGAGAGAAGGAAGGAAAGACAAAAGGGAAGGTAGGAAGGAAGGAAGGAAGGAAGGAAGGAAGGAAGGAAGGAAGGAGGGAAGGTGAAGGAGGAAGGAAAGAGAGAAGGAAAGACAAAAGGAAATGAAGGAAGGATGAAATGGTGGAAGGGAAGGAGGAAGGAAAAAGAAGGAAGAAAGGGAGGAAGAGAAGGATGGAAGGAAGAAAAGAAGGGAAGAGGGAAGGAAAGAAAGAGAAGAAAGGAATGACGATAAGGTGGGAAGGGAATGGAGGGACGGAGAAAGGGAGGGAAGCAAGCAAAGGCAGGAGGGAAGGAAAAAGAGAAGGAAGGAAAGAAAAGGGAAGGAGAAAGAGGGAGAGAGGAAAGGAGGGAGGAAAGGGGGAAGAAAGGGAAGACAAAAGGGAAGGAAGGAAGGAAGGAAGGAAGGAAGGAAGGAAGGAAGGAAGGAAGGAAGGAAGGAGAAAGAGGAAGGGAAGAGAGAAGGTAGGAATGATGAAGGGGAGGAAGGGAAGAATGGAAGGAGAAAGAGGGAGAGAGGGAAGGAAGGAGTAAAGAGGGAAGGAAGGAAAGACAAAAGGGAAGGTAGGAAGGAAGGAAGGAGGGAAGGTGAAGGAGGAAGGAAAGAGAGAAGGAAAGACAAAAGGAAATGAAGGAAGGATGAAATGGTGGAAGGGAAGGAGGAAGGAAAAAGAAGGAAGAAAGGGAGGAAGAGAAGGATGGAAGGAAGAAAAGAAGGGAAGAGGGAAGGAAAGAAAGAGAAGAAAGGAATGACGATAAGGTGGGAAGGGAATGGAGGGACGGAGAAAGGGAGGGAAGCAAGCAAAGGCAGGAGGGAAGGAAAAAGAGAAGGAGGTAAGAAAGGGAAGGAGGGACAGAGTGGAAAGAAGGAAGAAAGGCTGGAAGGGAAGGAGAAAGAGGAAGGGAAGAAGGAAGGAAAGAGAGAAGGAAGGAAGGATAGGACGATGACAGAGAGGAGGGCCTGGGTTAGCTCATGCCTGAGCTAGAGACATCCTGTTGTTTGTGCTGGAAAGTATCTTCAACTTAGTCATTCCTCTGATACTTCCCTGACTGTTTCCAGCACTGCATTATATATATATATATATATATAGATTTCAGTCAAAATTATACACACCACTATTACTCTTATACAGTATATTTTATGCTAGCTGTTCCAAAAGGGTTGCCTGAAATTTCAGCATGTCACGCTGGGAACCATGCACATAATCGACAAGGAGTGCAATACAAGTAGATATGTTCATGCAACACTAGCTTTAAGCAAGGCTAGAAAAGTTAGTGTCTGGACTTCATCCTCGAAGTGTCAGTGAAGCCTAGAATGGAACACAGCATGTTGCATATTTCTCGAGGAATTGAGGTTTCTCATGTTTGGAAACAGTAGATGCCTTTGGGTGGACGAGCAGACCATCTTGCAGAAGGCCTAAGAGGGCAGAGCTGGTGAAAGGCACAATATCATTCTTCTCATACCAGTTATATGCAGGTTACTACTTTGCCCACTGCAATAACTCTATGTGCGAGTCGTATAAATCCAACTCAAACAATCAACGCAACATAGGAAGAAGATAAATGTGACAGAAGAGTGAAGGGACTGATATGAAGGCATTGAATTTCTTCAAGTCCACTGTGGTTCGGCATCCAAGGTAGAGCTGCTTCCTCAAGAAAGCCGTTCCCTGGCAACGCTCTCCAGCATGGATGAAAAGTTACCAATGGGAACGGTGACCCATCCAGGCTCCAACCCTTAGCTCATCTTCTTGGCCACGTTGGCGTAGGTGCGCTCAATCTCCCCGTCAGCTGGGCAGGTGTGGCTGAACTCATCTCGGGCGTACGCATGGTGAAGGTAGCGCCAAACTGCGGTCATCTCTAGCGGGATCTCAAAGTTGCGGTATTTCTTTGCAGCAATCTGTGTGGCAAAATGGGAGAGGCGGAATGGCCGCAGAGAGATAATAATTATAATGATACTTTATTTATTGACCACCCTCTCTCCCTGACGGGACTCAGGGCGCCTTACACACACAAAAAAGGGCAAACATTCAATGGCCTATGCAAATACAAACATTTCAAAAAGAAAACAAAAGAATGCAAACATTAATGACAATAAACTTATGACAAAAGAGAAATCAACATCAAAATAAACAACTGAGTACGAATAATTGAATAAACATAATTATTCTAGTAACATAAATTAACCATTAAGATATAAATTCCGAGCAGGTGGTTAAAATACATAAAAATGGGTTGTGTGTTTTTCAGGCTGTATGGTCATGTTCCAGAAGTATTCTCTCCTGATGTTTTGCCTGCATCCATGACAGGCATCCTCAAAATCTGTTATTTATTTATTTATTTATTTATTTATTTATTTATTTATTTATTTATTTACCGTACTTATATACCGCTGTTCTCAGCCCGAAGGCGACTCACAGCGGTGTACAACAAACAACAACAGCAAGAATTCAATGCTAAGTATAAAAACAATTAACAGCCTACATATTACACAGTTAATAAACAATTACTATAGAAGCCATTCACTATCGTCTCATCATCCAAAAACATGATCCAAATTCGCCATCCATTGTTCCATTCCATTGTTCATTAACCAAGCATTGCACTAAATTATTCGAACGCCTGCTCAAACAGCCAGGTTTTTAGTTTTCTACGGAATACCATTAGGGATGGTGCTAATCTAATGTCCGCAGGAAGGGCGTTCCACAGCCGAGGGGCCACCACCGAGAAGGCCCTATCTCTCGTCCCCGCCAGCCGTGCCTGAGAAGCAGGCGGGATCGAGAGCAGGGCCTCCCTGGAAGATCAACAATTACATAAATTGTGCATGTCCAGAGGTGGCAATAACCTATTACCCTGATGCAAGAAGAATAGCTAATGAAGTTCTGTAATTAGCCAAAATGGACAAATTGACCATGCTGATTGAGGAGAAAACTTTGACTTTGGAGCCCCCGGTGGCGCAGTGGGTTAAAGCACTGAGCTGCTGAGCTTGTTGATCGAAAGGTCGCAGGTTCGATTCTGGGGAGCGGCGTGAGCTTCCGCTGTCAGCCCTAGCTTCTGTCAACCTAGCAGTTCGAAAACATGCAAATGTGAGTAGATCAATAGGTACCGCTCCGGTGGGCAGGTAACGGCACTCCATGCAGTCATGCCAGCCACATGACCTTGGAGGTGTCTATGGACAACGCTGGCTCTTTGGCTTAGAAATGGAGATGAGCACCACACCCCAGAGTCAGACATGACTGGACTTAATGTCAGGGGACTACCTTTACCTTTTCCTTAAGGAAGATAGGGATTTTCCAATTACCTTATCATGACAATGTTGGGGTCATCTATAAACTATGGGAGTCATGAATTAGCGGAGTGTTGCCTTAAGTAATAATAATAATAATAATAATCTTTATTTCTACCCTGCCACCATCTTCCCGATGGGGACTCGGTGCGGCTTACATGGGGCCAAGCCCGGACAACATAATACAGCAATAAAATCAAGGCATATACACCAGACAACAACAACATTATCAAAATGACATTAAAATAATAATAGAAATAATAAAATTAAAATAAAATAAGATACTAATAGACACAATTACGATAGAGATGACAATGGGCGGACCACATATTCCGAATAAAAACAATTAACAGACTATGATGAGATAAAGTAGTAGCAGGACGTTTAAATGGAACTCATAAAACACAGAGTTGTGGGGCAGAACATCCTATTTGGAGGGCACAAACTCCATTACACGAAAACGTTGAGCACCTACTCATGGAAAAGCCAGGTTTTGAGGTTCTTTCTAAATGTTGAAGGGGCTTTCCTGATCTCCCAGGTAAAGAGTTCCAAAGTCAGGGGGCCACAGAAGAGTAGGCTCTCTCCCTTGTGCCCACAAGATGAGCTTGTGAGATTGGTAGGGGCGAAAGGAGGACCTCCCCTGAGGAGCAAAGGGCCCGGGTTGGTACGTGGAGAGAGATACGGTCACGAAGGTAGGCGGGTCCCAAAACGTTTAGGGTTTTATAGGTGATAACCTGTACCTTATTTATTTATTTATTTATTTATTTATTTGGTTTACTTTTACCCCGCCCTTCTCACCTCGAAGGGGACTCAGGGCGGCTTACACATCCAAGGCACAAACATACAACAGCAATAAAACAGAATAGCGCAAATTAGAATAGAATAGCGCAAATCAACAACAATACATTACATCTATACCCGCTAAAACCAATAAAACCAATAAAAATTTCATACAAACCCATACAAACCAATTACTCCTTATTGCCAGTCAATGTTCGCTATCTCATAGTTCAGAGTTTCTTTCCACATTTATCAGTCCTGCCGGTCCTATTTGTCTGGTTGTCCTTACCTAGTTAGCAGATTGCCCGAAGGCCTGGTCCCACAACCATGTCTTTACCTTCCTCCTGAAGGACAGGAGTGATGTCGATGCCCTGATATCCACTAGGAGTGAGTTCCACAGGTGAGGGGCCACCACTGAGAAGGCCCTGCTCCTCGTCCCCACCAGCCTCGCTTGGGAAAGCGGTGGGGTCGAGAGCAGGGCCCCCTCAGATGATCTTAAATTCCGTGGTGGGACGTAGAGGGAGATACGTTTGGACAGATATGCTGGACCGGAACCGTACAGGGTTTCATAGGTCAAAACCAGCACCTTGAATTGGGCTCGGAACTGAACCGGCAGCCAGTGGAGCTGACACAGCAGGGGGGTGGTGTGCTCTCTGTATGTCGCCCCGGTGAGCAGCCTGGCTGCCGCTCGCTGGACCAGTTGAAGTTTCCAAACCGTCTTCAAGGGCAACCCCACATAGACTGCGTTGCAGTAGTCTATTCGGGATGTAACAAGAGCGTGGACCACTGTGGCCAGATTTTAGATGTAGAAGTGCAATTATTGTATTGTAGAAGTGCAATTACATTATTGTTTAAAGGAAGTAGACTAATGAAGGGTAACTAACTATCAGATCCAAGGTGGTAGGTTTGTAGTTTTATATATGCAATTGCTTATTTGTAACTTAGTTGTTGTGTAGAACATGCAATTGTGTAGTTTTGGTACTTTTATTTTGTGTTTGTCCAGCAAACGCACTCACCTTGATGATGTTGAGTTTGGGCAACAGGTTGCAGTCGGCCAAAGTCATCCAGTTCCCATCCAGGAACTTCCTCTGAGACACTAACACTTCCTCTGTGGAATCCTGGTCAATTTCCTCAGGGAGTGGGGTGTTTAAATACTCATCCAGCCGCCTGAACTCTTTCAACAACGCTTTCTCCAAATCTGAATCACAAGAACCAAACATAGAATGGAAATATTTGTCTTGTGTTTACAAAGCCATTTCGCTCCAATCCGTTGATTGACTGACTACCATAAAATATAATGGGTCAACAGTTATTTCATTGTGGATAGCATAATTCTGCGATGGAAATGCAACACCGGGATTGTGGCGCAGCTGGCTGAGTGTCAGCTGCATTAAGATCACTCTGACCAAAAGGTCATGAGTTCGAAGCCAGCCTGGGTTGGAGTGGGTTTCCAACCAATTGTGTGTAGCCTGTTGTCGACCTTTGCAACCTGAAAGACAGTTGCATCTGTCAAGTAGGAAAATTAGGTACCACCTTTAAAAGTGTGGGGAGGCTAAATTAACTGATTTATGAGGCCATAAAGAAGACTCCAGCAAAGCATTCCAGCAGGGAAGCATGCGGGGAATGCGGAAGTGCTTCATCAGCGTCGCAGATGGACGATGAAAGCGACAGCTCCCCTGGCGGCCAGAAAAAAGTTAAATAGCCTCTGTGTATGTCTGTATATGTTTGTATGTCAAAAATTGGCATTGAATGTTTGCCATATATGTGTACACTGTAATCCGCCCTGAGTCCCCTGCGGGGTGAGAAGGGCGGAATATAAAAGCTGTAAATAAAATAAATAAATAAATAAATAAACACTATAATGTCATAAAATGAACAAAAAGAAACTATATTGGAGGGTTTTTTAAATATATATATATACAAGACTAATAGCAGCTTTCAATTTCTCCCCAAGTATTTGCACAAGCGTATGCTCTGTATGTCTGACGCTATTGGGCAGATTTTTGGAAGGGAGTCATTTGTAAAATGAACATTTGTCCTTTTTTTCTCACACTTACATTGCATACTCCAAAAGTGCTTAAGCTATTCAACCTGGAAATTGCCCACAGAAGCCAACTAGCCTTATAGGGCCCACTTGCGTCTCACTAAAGGCTCACTACCCGAGTCATCCATTCTGTTAGGTAGAACTCTAAATCACTTTTTATAATTCTGGAAACTATGGGATTCATCCAAGGTTTTGTTGTTGTAATGTTGTTGTTGTTGTTGTTATCGTGTCAGAAGCGACTTGAGAAACTGCAAGTTGCTTCTGGTCTGGCGTGAAAGAATTGGCCATCTGCAGAGACATTGCCTAGGGGATGTCCAAATGTGTTACCATCCTATGGGAGGCTTCTCTCATGTCCTTGCATGAGAAACTAGAGCTGCTCGAGCTAAAAGATGGGAGCTCACCCTGGCACAAGGGTTTAACCCATTGCGTCACTGCGGCTCCTATAATAGTCATTATTATTATTATTATTATTATTATTATTATTATTATTGTGTCAGAAGTGACTTGAGAAACTGCAAGTTGCTTCTCGTCTGGTGTGAGAGAATTGGCCATCTGCAGAGACATTGCCCAGGGGATGTCCAGATGTGTTACCATCCTATGGGAGGCTTCTCTCATGTCCTTGCATGAGAAGCTAGAGCTGGTAGAGCTAACAGACGGGAGCTCACCCTGGCACAAGGGTTTAACCCATTGAGTCATTGCGACTCCTATAATAGTCATTATTATTATTATTATTATTATTATTATTATTATTGTGTCAGAAGTGACTTGAGAAACTGCAAGTTGCTTCTGGCCTGGCGTGAGAGAATTGGTCATCTGCAGAGACATTGCCCAGGGGATGTCCAAATGTGTTACCATTACCCAGGGGATGCCCAAATGTGTTACAAATGTGTTCTCTTGTGGCCCTGCATGAGAAGCTAGAGCTGACAGACAGGAGCTCACCATGCCACAAGGGTTTTAATCAATTGCACCCTGTAGCTCCAATAAATATTCGTGCCAAGTTTGGTCCAGATCCATCATTGTTTGAGTCCACAGTGCTCTCTGGATGTGGGTGAACTATAATTCCCAAACTCAAGGTCAATGTCCACCAAACCTTTCCAGTTTTTCTGTTGGTCATGGGAGCCCTGTGTGCTAAGTTTGGCCCAATTCCATCATTGGTGGAGTTCAGAATGCTCTTTGATTGTAGGTAAACTATAAATCCCAGCAACGACAATTCCCAAATGACAAAATCAATTTTGTTGAGTGGAGGACATAAATTGGACTGTTAGGTGTCTTGTGTCCAAATTTGGTGTCAATTCCCCCAGTGGTTTTTTAGTTCTGATGGTAGCACAAACTAACATTACATTTTTATTCATATATATAGAGGGGGGGGGGGTTGTCTCTCTCTCTCTCTCCGCAACAGTATAAACTCTACTGCTGAACGGCTCTCACAGTCAGGAAGTTCTTCCATCTGAACATGAGGAAGAACTTCCTGACTGTGAGAGCCGTTCAGCAGTGGAACTCTCTGCCCTGGAGTGTGGTGGAGGCTCCTTCTTTGGAAGCTTTTAAACAGAGGCTGGATGGCCATCTGTCAGGGGTGATTTGAATGCAATATTCCTGCTTCTTGGCAGGGGTTGGACTGGATGGCCCATGAGGTCTCTTCCAACTCTTTGATTCTATGATTCTATGATGTTGTAAAGACAAGCAAGAAACCAGCTATTGGTTGTGTGTGCGCATGTGCCTTCAAATCACCTGTTGACTTATGGTGATCCCATTAATTTAATAGGGTTTTCTCAAGCAAGAAATAATCAGGGGTGGCTTAGCCAGGTACCTCCCTCTGAAATGCAGCCCACAGTACCTGGGAATCATTCCCTCTATTGCTTTTCCAAGGGAAATTGATATAATAATACTCTGCTTTAAACTCGTCTGCATAAGAAAGAAAAGGATAGGGTTTGTTCTTACTCTTGTTGTCTTCCTTGTGCGGGTTCTTGATGTAGGCAGAGAATTTGGCAAAGATGTTCCTGCCCACGTCCAGAGACTCCCTGTTTTTCGGAGTGAGTCGGGGATACCTAAATGGAAAGTCCAGCATTAATGTCAAAAACAGTGTTTCCACAGCTCCAGGGCATGGTCTTATTCTTACCCGCTTGCCTTATTGTCTAGAGATCTCACAAAATCAGGAACATTGACACAGGATGTTAGAACAATAAATATAAAATTTGAACTGTCGGGAAAGAAAAATGTACTTCTTTGTGGAACATTGTAGCACAGTAAGAATGTAATCGAACATATCAGGATTTGTATTTTCAAAGGCTTTCACAGCCAAGTCACTGGATTGCTGTAAATTTTTCAGGCTGTCTGGTTATATTCCAGAAGCATTCTCTCCTGACATTTCACCTCCATCTATGGCAGGCATCCTCAAAGGTTGTGAAGTCTGTTGGAAAATAGGCAAGTGAGGTTTTTCTACCTGTGGAATGGTGTCCAGGGTGGGAGAAAGAACTCTTGTCTGTTTGAGACAAGTGTCAATGTTGCAATTGGCCTTGCAACTTCAAAGCCTGGCTGGTTGCTACCTGGGGGAGCCTTTGTTGGGAGGTGTTAGCTGGCCCTGATCGATTATTGCCTTCTTTTTTGAGTGTTGCTCTTTCTTTACTGCTACAAGTAATGTTGCAATTGGCCACCTTAGCATTTAATGCCTTTGCAGTTTCAAGGTCTGGCTGCTTCCTGCCTGGGAGAATCCTTTGTTGAGAAGTGATTAGCTTGCCCTGATCGATTTCTTGTCTGGAATTCTCCTGCTTTTTTAGTGTTGCTCTTTATTTACTGCTACAAGTAATGTTGCAATTGGCCACCTTAGCACTTAATGCCCTTGCAGTTTCAAGGTCTGGCTGCTTCCTGCCAGGGGGTATCCTTTGTTGAGAAGTGATTAGATGGCCCTGATCGATTCTTGTCTGGAATTCCCCTGCTTTTTGAGTGTTGCTCTTTATTTACTGCTACAAGTAATGTTGCAATTGGCCACCTTAGCATTTAATGCCCTTGCAGCTTCAAGCTCTGGCTGTTTCCTGCCTGGGAGAATCCTTTGTTGAGAGGTGATTAGCTCGGCCTAATTGTTTCTTGTCTGTAATTCCCCTGTTTTTGAGTGTTGTTCCTTATTTACTGTTTTAGAGTTTTTAAAAAATACTAGTAGCCAGATTTTGTTTATTTTCATGGTTTCCTCCTTTCTGTTGAAATTGTTGACATGTTTATGGATTTTAGTTGCTTCTCTGTGTAGTCTGACATAGTAGTAGCTAGAGTGCTCCAGCATTTCTGTGTTCTCAAATAATGTGCTTTGTCCACCTCCCAACAAAGGGTTCCCCCAGGCAGCAACCAGCCAGGCTTTGGAGCTAAAAGTCCATTAAATGCAAATCAAGGCGGCCAAGAGTTCTTTATCCCACCCTGGACATTCCATAGATATATAAACCTTACTTGCCTAGTTTCCAACAGACCTCACAACCTCTGAGGATGCCTACCATAGATGTGGGCAAAACGTCAGGAGAGAATGCTTCTGGAATATGGCCACATAGCCCGGTAAACTCAGAGCAGCCCAATATCAGGATTTAATGGCCATGTTAGCTGGGGATGGTGGGAGTTGATGGTGGGAAACTGTTAGGTGCATTTGATTATCACCACCTAGAACTTGTGGAAAGAAATAGATTTGTAGACCCCAGCAATACAATTGCTAACCATCAGAGGGCATTGCTGTATATTTATTAATGCTTTATGAAAGTCTTGAAATGAAAAGAGGGTTGACTCTATAATAAACCTTTAAATCGACCCAAGCAGAGCATGGGTTATAATCTAGATCAAGCATGGGCAAACTTAGGCCCTGTTTTGGACTTCAACTCCCACAATTCCTAACAGCCTAATCTTTATTTATACCCCAGCACCATCTCCCCAAAGGGGACTTGGAGCAGCTTACATGAGGCCAAGCCCAGCGATACATTACAGCAACATTAAAATATAAACCACAAAATAACATCACAATAAAATTAATAAACCAACCAAGTAAAACAAACAGTACAACGTAACATAATAGAAAGTAAAACACAGTGGGCGGACTATGACTTCCCTTGATCTCTATACTCCTATTGATGCAGTTTAGGTTTGCATCTGGTTCTGGAGAAGCCTTCATTTAGATTAGCCAGATATTCCTGTATTATTGCCTTTTTACCTATTGTGTGCTGCATTTCCCCCTAAGGGGATCACAACCAGACACCGTGAAGACATCTGCCCTTGAGCTTCGCTACTCTGCTGCTAAATATGTATATTCACATTAAAGCAGTGGATGGGGCCCTTAATGAGACATGCCACATTATCACAAGATGCCTACGCCCAACACTGCTGGAGAAATTATACTGTTTAGCCGGTATTGCACCACCTGACATCTGTCGGGAAGTAGCAGCCAGTGATGAAAGAACCAAAGCAATGGCATCTCCAGCCCATCCTCTGCTTGAATATCAGCCAGCAAGCCAATGCCTTAAATCTAGAAACAGCCTCCTAAGATCTACAGAGATCGTCGCAGGAACACCTCAGCAAGTAAGAGTCCAAAAGTGGTAGGCTAAAACCCGGAACCTCAATCCATGGCTGATACCAGATGAAAAACTCCCCCCTGTGCACACAGAAAACTGGGCAACTTGGAAGGCGATGTACAGACTGTGCTCTGGTACCATAAGATGCAGAGCCAAGCTTAAGAAACGGAGCTACAAAGTGGAGTCCATGACATGTGAGAGTGGAGAAGAGCAAACCACAGGCTGCCTATTACAATGCAGTCTGAGCCCTTTTTTTTCGTGTCAGGAACAGCTTGAGAAACTGCAAGTCACTTCTGGTGTGCAAAAATTGGCCATCTGCAAGGACGTTGCCCAGGGGACGCCTGGATGTTTTGATGTTTTACCATCCTTGTGGGGAGGCTTCTCTCATGTCCCCGCATGGGGAGCTGGAGCTGACAGAGGGAGCTAAACCCGCTCTCCCCAGATTCGAATCGCTGATCTATTGGTCAGCAGTCCTGCTGGCACAGGGGTTTAACCCATTGCACCACTGAGGGAGTCTGAACCTTGCCACATGCACAACGGAGGACCTTCTTACAGTGATACCAGAGGCACTCCAATTGACCAGCTTCTGGTCAAAGAAAATTTAGTACAATGCCAAGTTTTTAACTTTGTTTCCCCCCCTGATATGTTATAACTGTATCCTCAATTCATTTCTGACATGATAAATAAAATATTTTCCTATTGTATCCTCTTTTCTATTTTCCCCAAGTTGATCTCTATTAACCTTTGAGGAGAAGACTGAGGCAAAGAAGGCGTTGAGTAGTTCTGCCTTTTCTTTGTACCTTGTTAACATTTTGCCATCATCATCTTCACTACTACTACTACTTAGGGAAAAGGACATGATTAGCATCTTTCTGATTTTATTTATTTATTTATTTATTTATTTATTTGGTGCGCTTATATACCGCCAATATGATTCTTATTATATTCCATTCCATTCCCACAAATGTATAAATATCTCGAGGCTTGGATAGCAGTAGGTGCTGCATTTGAAGATGTAAATTTATAGTAATCCAAGTTCATTTAGTCTTAAAGGTGTTGCTATATTTCTCCCCTCTCTTTTATTTTTCACTGAAGTCATTTGTGATTGATCCGGGGATCAATGCTCTATTGCTAAACTACATAATGGTGTAACATTAGAAAATGTTGACCATTTCCACTACCTTGGCAGCCACCTCTCCACAAAAGTCAACATTTACACTGAAATTCAACACCGCCTGAGCTCTGCGAGTGCAGCATTTTTCCAAATGAAGCAGAGAGTGTTTGAGGACCGGGACATCCGTAGGGATACCAAGGTACTTGTTTATAAAGTTATTGTCCTCCCAACCCTGCGATACGCCTGCGAGATGTGGACTGTTTACAGACGTCACATGCAACTCCTAGAACGATTCCATCAGCGCTACCTCTGGAAAATCCTGCAAATATCTTGGGAACACAAGCAGAAAATATCAGTGTGCTGGAAGAAGCAAAGACCACCAGCACTGAAGTGATGGTCCTCCGTCATCAACTCCGCTGGACCGGCCACGTTGTCCGGATGCCCGACCACCATCTGACCAAAGTAATTGCTCTATTCCGAACTCAAGAACGGAAAACGGAATATTGGAGGACAGGAAAAGAGATTTAAAGATGGGTTCAAAGCAGGGTCGTAGCCAGAAGAAAAATTCGGGGAGGGTTGAAAATTTCGGGGGGGGGGGGGGTGAAAATGGGGGGGGGTGAAACCTGCCTCCTAGCTCACGCTGAAGCAAAGAGCACAGCAGGGGGCAGAGCAGCCTTCAATAGCCTGCAGCTCCGCCCCTGTCAACCACCTCCACCAAGTCTGGCCTCCTTAATGAGAGCATTCAACACCCCCCCCCCCAAACTTGGTTGCTTTGCTACATTGGCTATTGCTGCAAGTAATGACAGTGTGAATAAATTGTCAATATTTGCTTGAGATAGTGCTTGCAGTTCTGGAGGGACTCTTAATTTTTTGTGTCTCATAGACTTAGCATGGGGATTTGGTTAACCAGTTAAAATTCATGAGTAAACCAGGTTTTTTAACCTGAAAATTTCAGGGGGAGGGGTTTGACCCTAACCCGCCTGAAAAAATGGGTCTTCTACCAGCAGCAAGCCAACCTTAAAAACTCTGGCATAGACACTGAGAACTGGGAAGCCCTGGCCCTTGAGCGCTCCAGCTGGAGGTCAGCTGTGACCAGCAGTGCTGTAGAATTTGAAGAGGCACGAATGGAGGGTGAAAGAGAGAAACGTGCCAAGAGGAAGGCGTGCCAAGCCAGCCTTCCACCTGGAAACTAATGCCCTCACTGCGGGAGAAGATGCAGATCAAGAATAGGGCTCCACAGTCACGTACGGACCCACCACCAGAACACTGACCTTGGAGGACCATCGTCCTTGGACTATGAGGGATCGCCTAAGTAAGTAAGTAAGTAAGTAAGCTAAACTACAGAACAAAGCTTATTGGGTGGTTGTGGAAGAAGCAGTTTGTGCTGCATGTCTCCATGTATATCACAGGATCTAATCTGGCAAGTCTTGGACAGGTAACTTAGAGAGTTCTTTTTTCCTTCCTTCGATACACACAGATAAATATGATCTGCTCCCTTCTCCTCTGTGAGTGACTTAGTGCAATGGAGGATCTCTTATAAATGCTTAGTCCTTTAAAACTGCCTCTTGTTTACTGCAGCTGCAAGTGGACAATTCAGAGGCCGGGTGCCAACTATGAGCGCATGCATCTTGGCTGCGCTCCCACCAGTTTGGATCCGGAGTGTTTCTCTTGGCTCGGGGAAGGTGTTTTGTTGAGTAAGAAGCAAAACAAAACACGGGGGAAGGAATCCTGGCCAGATCAGATCGAGGAAAAGTCACTTTTGGGGGCCATTGTGCAAGGGGGAGATCTTAGCAGCATAATTTAGCGCAAACTATCGAGGCATGCATAAAGCGACACCTGTGACCTTTCTTGTGGCCTCCTCTTCTAAGTTGCTCTTCTTCTTTTTGGGGCTCGTCCTTCTCTCTCTCCTTCCAACCCCTCCCCAATCTGTTCCCTGTTTCAACACAGAACTTCCTCCCATTGTTTTCAATCTCTCTGGCTGAACCTATTTCCTTCTTGGTCCCGGTTGGGAAACAGATGAGCCTGCTGAGCTGTCCTCCTCTCTCTCTTATCCGGAGCAGTTGGATGTCTCATCCTACCCTGCACAAGGCCATGACTTCTTTGCATGCTTCATCATTTCAATCTATACCACTATCCAATTCCTGAGCATCCAGAGTTAACCCTTAGGGATGGCTAGTTCTCTCATGCTTTATTTTCATTGGGTCTTTCTATAAATATAAACATCATCACCCAAAAGAAAGTCTTTTCCCCTGTTTTTAAACTCAGAACTTTTAAAAGGTGGGTTGTTATAGGCTATATTGCCATGTTCAAGAAGCATTCTCTCCTGATGTTTCGCCTGCATCTATGGCAAACATAGATCTTGTCTCCTGCATATGTCATCAGTTGAGATCCCTCCCCCCAGCACCAACCACCACTCTCATCCAGAGGGGAGGCCAGGGGACAGTTCCACCTTGTCTCCTGTGCTATGCTAATATATAATATAATATGATATAATATAATATATTGTATATACATTGTTCCGTCTTCCAGGAGCTTGGTTTGCATTGTCCTTTAGCTGCATGGGATAGCATTCCTTTGCATTCCCCCAGGGTTGCTATAGACCCAGCAGCACCCTGGAAGTTAAACAGTATCAGAGTCTGGAAATCCAGGCTGCAGACCCTCTGCAGTTATTGGTTTAGAAAGTATCTCTTTGGGTTTGGAGTCCGCCTTTTTTCCTGGGGGTTGAGATCTCCATTTTGGAATTTCTCCTGCCTTCTTCAGTAGAGAAAAGAACCTCAAATGTGCTGTTGGTCAGGCAGGGATCTCTGAAAAATCCATTGTGAGTACTATTGAGTTATAGATAGATACTGAGTTATAGATAGATATTGTTATTAAGAATGGCAACTGAGATAGAGAGATATATATTAAGATAATTGAGATAGTAATTGAGTTATTGAGAAATAGCTATTGAGTACTATTGAGCATTACTTCATCTCCAAAACTGACGTTGTGCTTAGATAGGGAAAGACCAGTTTTTTCCAACCATAGCAGCTCAGGGTTAGGGGGAAATATCTCAGGATTTTTTCTACCATTTGGAGAAAGTTTACCTCAGTAATTGAAGAAAAAGGGAAAGAAAGAACATCTCTATGGTTTCTCAAATTGACTGTTCGTGTTGTAACTTTATCAAGCTGTGCCAAGTCTGTCAAGGACTTTGGAAATAAACATTTTGTTGATATTCATATCTTGACTGGCATCAGTTGCTGAAAGTATTGAGTTATTGCTTCAAAGAAAGACCCCCAGCGGTACACCCAGATAAAGAGAGAAGCACATCTTGGTTTTAATGTTATAGGGTCTGGGTGTGACGGCACATACATATAATATTTATAATATTATAATGGAATACAGTATAATACTACTACTAATAATATGATATTATAATTATATGTTTTATATTACATGTAATATTACCAATAATCTATATAAATAAAAATGTAATGTTCGTTTGTGGGATTAACGGAACTCAAAAACCATTGGAAGAATTGACATCAAATTTGGACAGCATATGTCCTTCACTCAAAAAATTGATTTTGTCATTTGGGAGTCGTTGCTGGGATTTATAGTACACCTACAATCTGAACTCCACCAATTGAGTTTGAGAGTTGTAGTTCACCTACATCCAGAGAGCACTTTGGACTACAACAATGATGGATCTGGACCAAACTTCGGACGAATATTCCATATACCCAAATATGAACACAGATGGAGTTTGGGGGAAATAGACCTTGAGATTTGGGAGTTGTCGTTTCTGGGATTTATAGTTCACCTACAATCAAAGAGCATACTGAACCCCACCAACGACAGAATTGGGGCAAACTTTCCACACAGAACCACCATATTTAAGGCCATCCGGTCCACCTCCCTTCACCAGGGCAAGAAAACGTAATCAAAGCCCTCCTGACAAAGAGCCATTCAGTCATAAATATAGATAGATATATATGATTCAGACACACACAGATACAGTATCATCGATTTGAAAGGGACCCCTAGAGAAGGACAATGATATGTTGTATATTCCAGGGTAGGCAAACCAGACAATCTCCACATCAACACTGAAAAAGAAACAGCTAGAAATACTGTGTACCCACAAGCATTAAGAAATCACATATATTAGAAACCAACACTTTCTCATTACTTTATTTTCCAGATCACCAGACTGTTTATTTGGGGGGGGGGGGGGGGGAGTATGCATGATGGTCACTCATTGGTCTGTTAGGAGTGTAGTGTTCAAATTTCGTGTCGTTTCGTCCAGTGGTTTTTGAGTTATGTTAATCCTACAAATGAACATTACATTTTTTATTTATATAAATTAGTAAGAGTGTGTCCACCAGACCAACTTGTCACCTAATTTACTTTCAACTGAAATCCATAGAAAATCATAGAGATTTTTTTTAAAAAAAATCATAATCTGTTGCTGGAAGGACATTAAAGAAATATTGGTTATTTTGCAGGGAAATACTTAGGTGGTGAGAGAGTCTGTTCCAGAAAGTCTTCGATCTTCAAGAAGTCTGTTTTCAGCTCCTTGTTGAACACCAAGAATGGAGGCTTAATCCCAGGTGCCAGATCTTTCAACTCGTCTGGTTTCCTAAACAGAAATGTGAAGGCATGGTTTGTAAGGTATGTTGTTTTTTTCTAGGCGCTTTCTTAGGGTGCATCTACACTGTAGAACGAATGCAGTTTGGCACCACTTTACTCGCCATGGCTCAATTGTATGAAATCCTGAAAGTTGTAGGGCCCTTCCACACAGTCATATAACCCAGAATATCAAGGCAGAAAATCTCACAATATCTGCTTTGAACTGCGTTATCCGAGTCCACACTGCCATATATTCCAGTTCAAAACAGATAATGTGGGATGGGCTCGGCCTCATGTAAGCCGCCCTGAGTCCCCATCAGAGAGATGGTGACGGGGTATAAATAATAATAATAATAATTATTATTATTATTATTATTATTATTATTATTAGAAACACAACAAGATGAGTCCATAGCGGACACTTTGCTGGCTGTTGAATTGGATCACACGTCGGACACTTCCCAAGTGTCTAGGACTGTGTGATGTATTGGCGAATAATGCGTGCAGATCCCAATAGGGTGGCCTTCTTCAGCTGGCAGATGGTAATTTTGTCAGTGCTGATTGTGTTTAAGTGCAAGCCAAGGTCTTTAGGCACTGCACCCAGTGTGCCAATCACCACTGGGACCACTTTTACTGGTCTGTGCCAGAATCTTTGCAGTTTGATTATTATTATTATTATTATTATTATTATTATTATTATTATTATTATTGATGTGGACAAGGTGCTTGGAGGGATGAGGGCAACCACATGCATCCTAGACCCCTGCCCATCCTGGCTTCTAAGGAGGCCAGAGGGGGATTGGCCGAGTGGGTAAAGGTGGTGGTTAATGCCTCCCTTCGGGAAGGCATAATTCCAGCCAGCTTAAAACAAGCTGTTATAAAACCGCTGTTGAAAAAACCATCACTGGACCCCACTCAATTCGTCAACTATCGGCCTGTTTCCAATCTTCCCTTCTTGGGCAAAGTCCTGGAACGTGTGGTGGCCTCACAACTCCAGGCATTCTTGGTAGACACTGATTATCTGGATCCGGCGCAGTCTGGCTTTAGGCCGGGGCATGGTACCGAGACAGCCTTGGTCGCCTTGGTCGATGATCTCCGGCGTGAGCTCGACAGGGGGAGTGTGTCTCTGTTGGTTCTGCTGGATCTCTCAGCGGCCTTCGATACCGTCGACCACGGTATCCTTCTGGGGCGCCTTGTGGGAATGGGCCTGGGGGGCACTGTTCTACAGTGGCTCAGGTCCTTCCTAGAGGACCGCACCCAGAAGGTGTTACTGGGGGACACCTGCTCGCCCTCACAACCATTGACGTGTGGGGTCCCGCAGGGTTCAATACTGTCCCCCATGTTGTTCAACATCTACATGAAGCCGTTGGGAGAGATCATCCGGAGTTTCGGGGTGCGGTGTTATCTGTACGCAGATGACGTCCAACTCTGTCACTCCTTTCCACCTACTACCAAGGAGGCTGTCCAGGTCCTGAACCGGTGCTTGGCCGCTGTGTCGGACTGGATGAGGGTGAACAAATTGAAACTCAATCCAGACAAGACAGAGGTACTCCTGGTCAGTCGGAAGGCCGAACAGGGTATAGGGTTACAGCCTGTGTTGGACGGGGTCGCACTCCCCCTGAAGACGCAGGTTCGCAGCTTGGGTGTGACTCTGGATTCTTCGCTAAGCTTGGAACCCCAAGTTTCAGCGGTGTCCAGAGGAGCATTTGCTAAAGCTTGTGCGCCAGCTGCGCCCGTATTTTGGGAAGTCTGACTTGGCCACGGTAGTCCACGCTCTGGTTACATCCCGTTTAATTACTGCAACGCGCTCTACGTGGGGTTGCCCTTGAAGACTGCCCGGAAGCTTCAGACGGTCCAGCGCTCGGCAGCCAGGTTGCTAACGGGAGCGGCACTCAGGGAGCATACCACTCCTCTGTTGAGCCAGCTCCACTGGCTGCCAATCTGCTACCGGGCACAATTCAAGGTGCTGGCTTTAGCCTATAAAGCCCTACACGGTTCCGGCCCCACTTCCCTCTCCGAACGCATCTCCGCCTACGAACCGGCAAGGATGCTAAGATCGTCCGGGGAGGCCCTGCTCTCGGTCCCGCCAGCATCACAAGTGCGGCTGGCGGGGACGAGGGACAGGGCCTTCTCGGTGGTGGCCCCTCGGCTATGGAATGCCCTACCAGTGGAGATCAGGCAGGCCCCCTCGCTATTGGCGTTTAGGAGGCGGGTTAAGACGTGGCTCTTCGAACAGGCGTTCGGATAAGCATGCAATAACATCTGACTCAGAAAGACGGCATACTGAACAAGGAATGGTAAAACGACTGTGAGATTTGGATCTGATTCTATTCGAGGCGTGATGACGTTATGTGTATTGTTTGTAGTTGTTTGTCACATATATTGTTCAATGTTGCACATTTTACTGTAAACCGCTTAGAGTCGCCGTTGGCTGATATTTGCGGTATACAAAAGGAGTAAATAAATAATAATAAATAAATAAATAAATTATTCAGCTGTGTAGAAGGGTCATAGTTTTACAAAATCTTTGTTCCTCTTTGCCAAAGAGTGCTGATGTTTCACCAAACTGAAAGCCCCAGGATTATGTAGCATTAAGCCATGGATGTTAAAGTGATGTTAAACCACATTCATTCTATGTTGTGGGCACACCTTTAGTAATGGGTTTCTCAAAAGAAATCAGGTCAGAGTAAATGTATAATTTCAAAAAGCATTATTACTCTGCTCTTGATAGGTTAAGGGGATGCATCTTCCTCCTGGAGAGAGATATTTAGTGCTTGGCCCGATATTGTTCACACATCTTTATGATTGGGTTGCTGTGAGTTTTCTGCGCTGTATGACCACGTTCTAGAAGCATTCTCTCCTGATGTTTTGCTGCTACAAGGCAATTAAATGCTAATCAAGGTGGGCAGTTTCCTCAAGCAGACAAGAGTTCTTTCTCCCACCCTGGACATCATTCCACAGGTATATAAACCACAGTTGCCTAGTTACCAACAGACCTCACAACCTCTGAGGATGCCTGCCATAGATGTGGGCGAAAAGTCAGGAGAGAATGCTTCTGGAACATGTCCAGACTGCCCAGAAAACTCACAGAACCCAGTGATTCTGGCCATGAAAGCCTTCGGCAACACATCGGTATGATTGATTTGGAGGATGGGATAAGTAGGTACATGTGAATCAACATATGCAAGTTTCATCAAAATCATGGGGGTTTTTTGCTCTTTTTTGGTGAGATATATACCTTTTTTGGAGGAAGGTGCAAATGGGCCACTCTAAGGACAACTTGCCAGCCTTTGTGCCCAAAGTATGCCTCTGCTGACCTCTCAGGCCTACCTTGTCATATCCACTGTTGTCACATTGAACCGGGCACCTTTGAGCCACAGGACCATGAAGAGACTTTGGCAGAAGGGGCAGTTTCCAATATTTTCTCCATCCAAGCCGGCCTGCAGCAAAGGCAAAATAGGTCATTGGCAGTTCTCAGAGAGGTAGCTGAATGCTGACATTAAAGCACAATCAAAATCCTAAATGATACATGTTGTGAGTAATGCAAAAAGAAAATGCATTGCACATAGGCTTGGAATAATAATCTATATAAATAAAATGTAATGTTTGTTTGTGGGATTAACAGAACTCAAAAACCACTGGACGAATTGACACCAAAGTTGGACACAAGACACCTAACAACCCAATGTATGTCCTTCACTCAAAAAATTGATTTTGTCATTTGGGAGTTGTAGTTTCTGGGATTTATAGTTCACCTACAATCAAAGAGCATTCTGAACCCCATCAACGATGGAATTGAACCAAACTTGGCACACAGAACTCCCATGACCAACAGAAAATACTGGAAGGGTTTGGTGGGCATTGACCTTGAGTTTTTTATTTGTAGTTCACCTACATCCAGAGATCACTGTGGACTCAAACAATGATGAATCTGGACCAAACTCTACACGAATACTCAATATGCCCAAATGTGAACACTAGTGGAGTTTGAGGAAAATAGAAACTTGACATTTGGGAGTTGTAGTTGCTGGGGTTTATAGTTCACCTACAATCACAGAGCATTCTGAACCTCACCAACGGTAGAATTGGGCCAAACCTCCCACACAGAACACCAATGTGGGCCACAGCAACATGTCGCAGGGGATGACTAGTAACAATAATAATAATAACAACAACTTGGAAAGTGTCTGACATGTGATCCAATACAACAGCCAGCAGAGTGATCCTGCCTGCTGTGGACTCATCTTGTTGTGTTTCAAATAATAATAATAATAATAATAATAATAATAATAATAATAATAATAATAACAATAACAACAAAAATAATATACTTTGTTTATATTCCACTCTATCTCCCTGAGGGGACTCAGAGCACATTATAGAATACATATATGGTAAACATACAATACCAATATACAATTAATAACACAGACAGACAGTATAGACAGAGGGAAAGGCTTCCCCCTTTCCATCTCTGGCATCTGGAGGCTGTGTTCAATTCCGGCTTTGGGGAGGTGCTATTGTTCCATTTTCCATACTGAGGAGCCTGTTGTCCATGGACACCTTCCCGATCAAATTGCGGGCATGTCTGCATGGGCGCCTTTTATCTCCCTGTCAAAGCAGTACCTATTGATCTACTTACGTTACGAGTTTCGAACTGCTAGGTAGGCAGAAGCTAGGGCTGATAGCGGGACCTCACCCCGACCAGTGGCTTTGAACTGCCAACCTTCTGGTTGGCAAGATTTCCTGCAGCTAGCAATTTAACCCGCTGTGCTACCACGTCCCTTTGGAAAGGACATTTCTGCCCTATCCCTCATAATACTGGCAGCTATTTGGGATGCAAACTACACGTTCCAGGACACCATGACCTAGAGCTATAGCAGTTAAAGTGTTATCAAACAGCCTTAATTCTATAGTGTAGATGCACCTGAACTCTTACTCCTGTTTTCTCAGCTGTAGTCCCCTTTTTGATGGGTTCTTTTAACTATGATAGGGTGGCCAACAAGAAGGTGCATAGAAAGCAACATTATCCAATAGTTAAACACACTGCTCTATTGTTAAAGTTCTCACTACAATTTTCTAAGACAGATCTGCAAAATTGTTAAGGGCACAAGTAGAAGACGTTAAGGAAAGTGCTTGGTGGAGCAGAGTTGAATTCAGCTCTCATGAATGGAGTGGCCGCACCATTTCCAGGCCAAATCTTGAAGAGATGCTTCTTTTCTGGAAACCGGACATTGTTATTTCTTAGTTTCTATTTAATTTTCAAAGCAAACAGCACATTGTTTCTGTTTCCTGAGGTGGAACAGTATCAGCAATGGAAGCAATAGTGAAAGCTCTTGGTATGCTTTTCCAGCCTATTGTGGCAATCTTTATCTTTGCAGACCACGATTGAGAAGGACTCTGGGAAGTGAGATAAAAGATCCGAGAAGAACACCCAGTGCTTCTGGTTGAGAAGAACAAGAGCGCTGGACTATTGTGGGTCGGCAGGAAGGGAGTTTGGCACAGCAGCACAATGTGTATGTGTGTGTTCGGGGAGTCTCAAGGGGGTAGGTGTGGAGGGGAGGTTTGGTAAACTTTTCCGTCTCAGTCATGGAATGGAAAAGTTCGTCATATTCTTATTTCTTTCCCCTTCTGTTCTTTCAACATTAGTGAAAACAGGGGATTTACCAGCCGTTCAGCTCTCTTTCCCAGAAATCTATCTATATTTTCCTTGAATGCCACCCTAAGACAGTGTTTCTCAACTTTCCTAATGCCATGACCCCTTAATACAGTTCCTTATGTTGGGGTGACCCCCCAAACATAAAATCATTTTTGTTGCTACTTCATAACTGTAATTTTGCTACTGTTATCAATTGTAATGTAAAGAGACCTCATGGGCCATCCAGTCCCCCTGCCAAGAAGCAGGAAAATTGCATTCAAATCACCCCCGACAGATGGCCATCCAACCTCTGTTTCTGGTGTATTTTCATCGAGTGGACCAAATTTGGCACAAATACCCGATACATCCGAGTTTGAATACTAAAGGGTTGGGGGGGATTGATTTTGACATTTGGGCGTTGTAGCTGCTGGGATTTATAGTCCACATACAAAGAGCATTCTGAACTCCAACAACAATGGAATTGAACCAAACTTAGCACTCAGAATTTCAATGACCAACAGAAAAAACTGTAAGGGTTTGGTGGGCAGTGACCTTGAGTTTTGGAGTTGTAGTTCACCTTCATCCAGAGAGCACTGTAGACTCAAACAATGATGCATCTGGACCAAACTTGGCACAAACCCTCTATGTGACCCTGGGCAAGTTACTCTCTTTCCGTCGTCAGGGAAGGCAAGGCAAATGTCTCCTGACTAAATCTTGTTAAGAAACCATGTGATAGCCTGAGCTCAAAAATGGCTTGAAAGCACACAACAGGAACAACACTTGCAATGCCGTTGCAGTCTCATGTAAACTTGAATAACAATAACATAGCAGAGAGCACCTGATGAACCAACCTGGACACAGCGTACTATTTGAGAACACAGAAATGCTGGACCACTCTCACAACCACCATGTCAGACTACACAGAGTAGCCATTGAAATCTACAAACATGTGGACAATTTCAACAGAAAGGGAGAAACCATGAAAATGAACAAAATCTGGCTACCAGTATTAAAAAAAACTCTAAAATTACAACAGCCCAACAACAGAGAGGAAACAATCAGGGACATCTAATAACTTCTCAACAAAAGATTGCCCCAGGCACTAACAAGCCACACCAAACAACTGCCAGGCCATTGTATGCTAATTAAGTGGTCAGTTGAAACATTCACACTTAGCTCCAGCAGACAAAGGTCCTTTGTCCCACCCTGGTCATTCCACAGATATATAAACCCATTTTCCTAGTTCCAACAGACCTCACTACCTCTGAGGATGCTTGCCATAGATGTAGGCGAAACGCCAGGAGAGAATGCCTCTAGAGCAGTGGTTCTCAACCTGGGGTCCCCAGATGTTTTTAGGCTTCAACTCCCAGAAATCCTAACAGCTGGTAAACTGGCTGGGATTTCTGGGAGTTGTAGGCCAAAAACATCTGGGGACCCCAGGTTAAGAAACACTGCTCTAGAACATGGCCATATAGCCCGAAAAAACCTACAACAACCCAATAACAAATAAGTATACTTTAAAAAATATAAGTAAAGGTAAAGGTTTGCCCCTGACATTAAGTCTTGTCATGTCTGACTCTGGGGGGTAGTGCTCATCTCCATTGCTAAGCTGAAGATCTGGCATTGTCCATAGACACCTCCAAGGTCATGTGACTGGGATGATTGCATGGAGCGCCGTTACCTTCCTGCCGAAACAGTACCTATTGATCTACTCACATTTGCATGTTTTCGAACTGCTAGGTTGGCAGAAACTGGAGCTAACAGTGGGAGCTCACCCCACTCCCCCGATTCGAACCTGTGACCTTTCTAGTCAAGTTCAGCATCTCAGTGGTTTAACCCACTGTGCCACCAGGAGCTCCCTTTAAAATATATATGCTTATAAAAGATAAAGGTTGTCCCCTGACATTAAGTCCAGTCATGTCTGACTCTGGGGTGTAATGCTCATCTCCATTTCTAAGCCAAAGAGCCGGCGTTGTCCATAGACACCTCCAAGGTCATGTGGCCGGCATGACTGCATGGAGCACCGTTACCTTCCCACCTGAGCGGTACCTATTGATCTACTCACATTTGCATGTTTTCGAACTGCTAGGTTGGCAGAAGCTAGGGCTGACAGCGGAAGCTCACGCCGCTCCCCGGAATCGAACCTGCGACTTTTCGATCAACAAGCTCAGCAGCTCAGTGCTTTAACCCACTGTGCCACCGGGGGCTCCCATATATGCATATATAAATATATATATCTCATACTTTAAAAAGCATCTTATCTGTTCCTTGCAAATGTATTTATGTCTTCGATGATGTGTGGTTCGCAATGACAGCACTGATAAGCAATGTGTAAGCATCAGCAAAACAACATCTTGACTGGAGCAAAACAAGATTGTCATCAGATCAGCTCCTCTGATCCAGCTTAATACAGACAGAGCACTTCCGAGCTGTTGTAACCTTGAGATTTGCAACAAGAGCAACATTTCATAAGGGAAGACTGGAACAGTTATATCAGAGTTTATTTAAGATGGCAAAGTGACTAATGAAGAAGAGCACACAGGGATCTTGATCAGTAGGGTAATTGTGTCTTGAATCCAACAGAGGCCAAAATCTTGGAGATCATCTGTCAATGGCTGTCAATCAAAGCTTTAGGTTAGTCCCAGCTTCTTACAAGCCGTATTCCCATTAGTACAGTCATGCAATCCCATCATTTTAGACCCAGTAAAAGAGCCCGAGAATTTGGCAGCTACTGATCTTATGCCCAACTCCCTTTTGAGATGGCATTCCCCTACATCAGTGTTTCTCAACCTTCCTAATGCCGTGGCCCCTTAATACAGTTCCTAATGTTGTGGTGATCCCCAACCATAACATTACTTTCATTGTATTGTCGAAGGCTTTCATGGCCAGAATCACTGGGTTGTTGTAGGTTTTCCGGGCTATATGGCCATGTTCTAGAGGCATTTTCTCCTGACGTTTTGCCTGCATCTTTGGCAAGCATCCTCAGAGGTAGTGAGGTCTCACTACCTCTGAGGATGCTTGCCATAGATGCAGGCGAAACGTCAGGAGAAAATGCCTCTAGAACATGGCTATATAGCCCGGAAAACCTACAACAACCCATTATTTTCATTGCTACTTCATAACTGTCATTTTGCTACTGTTATGAATCATAATGTAAATACCTGATATGCAGGTTGCATTTTAACTCACTGGACCAAAGTTAGCACAAACACCCGATATGCCCATATTTGAATACTGGTGGGGTTGGAGGGGGGATTGATTTTGTCATTTGGGAGTTGAAGTGGCTGGGATTTATAGTTCACCTACAATCAAAGAGCACTCTGAACTCCATCAATGATGTAATCGAATCAAACTTGGCACACAGAACTCCCATGACCAACTAAAAATACTGGAAGGAATTGGTGGGCATTGACCTTGAGTTTGGGAGTTGTAGTTCACCTACATTCAGAGAGCACTGTGGACTCAAACAATGATGGATCTGAACCAAACTTGGCACAAATACTCAATATGCCCAAATGTGAATACTGATGGAATTTGGGGAAAATAGCCCTTGACATTTGGGAGCTGTAGTTGCTGGGATTTATAGTTCACCTACAATCAAAGAGCATTCTGAACCCTGCCAACGATAGAATTGGGCCAAACTTCTCACACAGAACACCCATGACCAACAGAAAATAGTGTGTTTTCTGATGGTCTTTGATGACCCCTCTGACACCCCCTCTTGACTCCCCCCAGGGTTTCCGACCCCCAGGTTGAGAAACACTGCACTAGCTTCTTACAAGCCATTTTCCCTAGTGCAGTCGTGCAATTCCATCATTTTAGACCCAGTGAAAGAGCCTGAGGATTTGGCAGCTGATGTTCTTATGTCCACCTCCCTTTTGAGTTGGCATTCCCCTACACTGAATTCCAAGAGTAGTAACCCAACTGTTCTCTACCTGCTCATTTTGCTAAACCAGGCTCTCAGTTTCTGCCCAATGTCATACCCAGATGGCACCTGATTATCCATATGACCCTCACCTTTACAAACAGCTCGATCTCTGGTTCTTTCAAGGGATTATAAAGTCGGCTTGCCATCGTCTCTCCTTGAGAAGGCTGCCCAAATTCTTCTTTCGCTGTGATAGCCCTTCAGCAAACCTTGGCAATGACGGAGGTGGGAATCCAGGCAGAAGGGTGGCTTTGCTGGACTCTGAGTCCTCTCTGGAAAAGATGAGTCCCACTCTCAGGCTGGCCGCCGCTCAGCTGCAAGCGGGCCTTTCCCTTTAAGTTTCCCTTCCTTTCGTCCTTCCTCCAAAATTCAAAGCCAGAAAGGGCACTGAGGTGTGCTGAGCGACCTTCTGCTTGTTGTGAGTCAGCAGGATGGACTATCAGCAAAGGACAAGCTGCGGTCTTCTCTGCCTATCGAGGAGGCCAGATGTTGCCCGGACTCTTTAAGAAATATCCTCCTGTTCTCTGACTGTAACACCACAATTGACAGGGTTTCTATCACAGGAAGTAAGTTGGGAAGTTTCCCATTCTTCTATGATTTGACAGGCTGCTTATTTACTCTATCTCTGTTCAACTGAAGGTGAAGGTGCAGATTCATCCTCCATACACATCATGTACGCAGTAGCAAATTCACGTCCAAATGTGAATTTATTAATGAGTGGAATGCCACCTTTCCACATGGGAAGTTTTACCAATCTTGCAGAAACCCCCTGTTGTAGATATCTAATTCCACTGTGTAGATGTACTCTCTGTGTGTGGGAAGGATGGAAAACCAAGAAGGAGAGGATATATGGAATACTATACCAGAGAACCTTGGTGGTGCAGTGGGTTAAACCATGGACTGCTGAACTTGCTGACCAAAAGGTTGCCAGTTTGAATCCGGGGAGCAGGGTGAGCTCCTGCTATTAGCCCCAGCTTCTGCCAAACTAGCAGTTCAAAAACATGCAAATGTGAGATCAATAGGTACCACCCTGGCGGGAAGGTAAATGGCGCTCCATGCAGTTGTGTCTGTTGAACGCTCAGGAGGTGTCTATGGACAACACAGGTTCCTCAACATGGAAATGGAAATGAGCACCTCCCCCAGAACTGGAGATGAGCACCGCCTCCAGAGCCAAAGATGAAAGGAGATGAAAGCCTTTGCCTTTGTCTGTGTATTTGCCACAGTGACGCAATGAGTTAAACCCTTGTGCCAGCTGGACTGCTGATTTGAAGATTGCCCATTCAAATCCATGAGACCCACTACCTACTTATTTCGCAATCCAACCCTCTTACCCATGACTTACCCTATTCAACCCCAATTTTATGTATGTAAAAGTAGATTTGCACTTAATAAAAACTTATTTTTAAAAAATAGGTACCGCTTTGGCGAGAAGGTAATGGCACTCCATGCAATCATGCCTGCCACATGACTTTGGAGGTGTCTATGGACAATGCCGGCTCTTCGGCTTAGAAATGGAGATGAGCACAACCTTCCAGAGTCGGACCCGAAACCTTTACACACACACACACACACACACACACACACACACATATCCTCTGTTTTTTCCAATGAATCCACAAGAATACAACACTGGAATATGTGCAATACTTAGCTTACATCTATGCTATGAGCCTTCTTGCCTCTGAAAGCCCACCAGAGATGAGCACCAACTCCCAGAGTCGGACATGACTAGACTTAATGTCAAGGGGAAACTTTTACCTTTTCTACCAGATTACATGGCTGGCTGGCTCTGAACAGAATCACTCCCTGATATACCATTTTTCCCAGGTCTTCCCAGTTATACTAAACTGCTGGTATCCTATTCACAGTTTCTCTTATGAGATCTGTTGGCCAGATCAGCAGGGTTCCCTTGCATTCTTATCTGTAATGCCTCTTTTTAAATCCTTCCACCAGCAAATGCATCACATTCTTTTTCCTTGATCAGAAAAGTCAATGTTTTCCTTCCTAACCAATTTAATAAAGCAAGTAAACTGGAGGAAACCATGCTGGATTTGTTTAGAGCGAGGCATGAGACAAAAACAGGTGATGTTTATCCCACTGCGTTGCGTGTTCTGCCACAATAGCCTTCTTTCACAGCTCGGTTGAAAGTGCTGAATGGCTTCTCCCTCTGAGACACTTGTGTCTTGTCCTCTTTGTCCTTGCTGACCTCGGGTTTCTCAGTGGATGGATTCTGTGGGCTGCGGCTGATGACCGAGACAGTCCCTGAAGCTGTGGTGCTTTCGATCAAATGCATTTGCTGAATGCTGGAAGCACGTTCCAAAGTACGTTGGCCAAGAAGAGCAGAGCTTGGACATCTTAAACTATCTATCTGTCTATCTAGAAGAGTACTGTATGGATACAGCAAGCACTTAGACTATCTATTTGTCTATCTATCTGTCTGTCTATCTATCTAGAAGAGTACTGAATGGATACAGCAAGCACTACAGTTTTGTCAATCTGCAACTTTTGCCACGCTAGCTGTAAATATTGTACGCCATCATTGGAAAGCACCAGATTGGGAAAGGCAGGTCTGGAATTGCCTTCTATAAGGACCCCCAGGTGGCACAGTGGGTTAAACCCTTGTGCCGGCAGGACTGAAGACTGACAGGTCGCACGTTCGAATCCGGGGAGACCACGGATGAGCTCTCTCTCTATCAGCTCCAGCTCCCCATGCAGGGACATGAGAGAAGCATCCTACAAGGATGGTAAAACATCACAACATCCGGGCGTCCCCTGGGCAACATCCTTGCAGACGTCCAATTCTTTCACACCAGAAATGACTTGCAGTTTCTCAAGTCACTCCTGACACGACAAAAAAAATTGCCTTCTATGAACATTTCTTAACATGTGAAGCTGTCTTACACTCCTTTTTAGACATTGATCCATCTTGACTTAGCAGTAGCTCTCTGTAATTTTGGATAGACTTTTTCTAAGGCTTTCCTGGAAGATATGAGGATGAAACCCATAGCCTTGGCTGTGGCCCTTTCCCCAAATGGGAATGGCCTAGAGATGTAAGGAGCTGTCTTCAATTGATATCAGTAAAACATTTTAACGCTATCATATGCTGTTTAGTCAGAGCTTTCCAGGCTTTCAGGCAATGCTGCTTCCCAGAGCAGAAGAGTCTGAAACTGGCAACATCTGTCTTTAGGAGAGATTGTTTACCTCTCCTCCAGGCATTGATCATAGGCTCTTTCAAAGGTGCATGAGAAGCAGATATCCAATAGTTTGGTGAACAGATGGGATGCAACAAGTGAAGTCCTGTTGCTTTAATATCATATCAGGGTACAATGCAACCATCAGATTTCTGACTCTCTGACCTGCATCCGGCCAACATACCTTAAATATCTGTGTGCGGAGATATACTGTGCTGGCACTATGCAACATTTCCCATTTGCATTATGGAACAGAGGTTATCATCTGCCAATTATCCAATCTGCTCCTGCAGAATTCTAGGAAATTAGTTTAGGGAAGCCAAGGACCTCTCAAGCTGAAAATTCCAAATGCTCTGCCTAGAACTACATTTCCCAGAAGTCTGAAGAAGCAACTCATCACATAATGAGAAGACAGGAAAGCTTGGAGAAGACAATGATGCTGGGGAAAATGGAAGGAAAAAGGGAGAGGGGCCAACCAAGGGCAAGATGGATGGATGGTATCCTTGAAGGGACTGGCTTGACATTGAAGGAGCTGGGGTGGCCACAGCCGACAGGGAGCTCTGGTGTGGACTGGTCCAGGAGGTCACGAAGAGTCGGAAGCAACTGAATGAATAAACAACAAAAAACAACTCAGACGATTGGCAGATGATAGCCTGCAACCAAGATTCTGGCAACCAGACTGATTGATACTGGCAAATAGAAGGAGAAAATGTGGAGGCAGCGACACACCTTGTATTTCTAGGAGCAAAGATGACTGCAGATGCAGACTGCAGCCAGGAAATCAGAAGACATTTACTTCTTGGGAGGAGAGCAATGACCAATCTAGGGACATCACACTGGCAACGAAGATCCGCCTAGTCAAAGCAATGGTATTCCCTGTAGTAACCTACGGATGTGAGAGCTGGACCTTAGGGAAGGCTGAGCGAAGAAAGAGAGATGCTTTTGAACTGTGGTGCTGAAGGATAGTTCTGAGAGTGCCTTGGACTGCGAGAAGATCCAACCAGTCCATACTTCAGGAAATAAAGCCCGACTGCTCACTGGAGGGAAGGATAGTAGAGGCCAAGATGAAGTACTTTGGCACACATCATGAGAAGAAAGGAAAGCTTAGAGAAGACAATGATGCTGGGGAAAATGGAAGGAAAAAGGAAGAGGGCAAGATGGATGGATGGTCTTACTTAGGTGATCCCTCGTTGTCCAAGTAGGATTATCTTCCAAGATCGGTGTACTTGCGGTGGGTCCATAGGTGACTGTGGAGCCCTATTCTTGATCTGCATGTTCTCCCGCAGTGAGGGCATTAGTTTCTAGGTGGAACGCGGTCCCAATTGGGATTGGTTTGACACACCTTACTCTTGGCACATTTCTCTCTTTCACCCTCCATTCCTGCCTCTTCAAATTCTACAGCACTGCTGGTCACAGCTGACCTCCAACTGCTCAAGGGCCAGGGCTTCCCAGTTCTCAGTGTCTATACCAGGGAGCTCTGGTGTGGGCTGGTCTAGGAGGTCACGAACAGTCAGAAGCGATTGAATGAATAAACAACACTGTATTTAAGTCTCCATTCTATAACACTGGTGGGAAAACGTCCTATGTAATCTCTGCAGAATAGCAAATACAGAATGCACAATGGCAATGCATCACATGAAACTGTAATGTACAACATTATTATATGGGCAATCCCACTCTTGCCATCATCATCAGAATATAATGATCTGTTGCATCTTGGTGAATACTTCACTACACATACATAGTGTATGTCACTAACAGGAAGCCAGCACACAGAAAGGAAAGATGAATGGAGGTTCCTATCCCAGTTCCAGTTTGAGATAGAATAGTACAGTCCTAGAGTTGGCTGAGACCTCATGGGCCATCCAGTCCAACCCCCTGCCAAGAAGCTAGAAAGATAGAAAGAGAGAGGAGGGACCTCAAGGTCCAGGTCCATGTGTCATATTATTGGACATGATGAGACCTTCTCCTAAAGTGTTGTTTGTCTTAGAGAAGAGAACTGTGGACATTGGCCGTGCCTTGTGATATTTTATTTCTTCTACAAATATACACAAAGTGCATAAGTGGAACCAGACGTTCCTTCAAAGCATGTAACTGATCCTCTCATACAAAGAAAACATATTTTTGGACTATAATTCCTAGAATCTCTCCGTCTGCATGGTTAGAGACCATATTGGGTGTCTTCACTGAACGATACTACAAAAAAAGTATCTTTCCAGCCTCTGGGCCACAGGAGGTCCTGCATTTGCAAAGCATGTTCAGATATGAAAGAGCTTCCTCATCTAAAAAACAATTTCTACATCTGTGCACACAAACATTCATAGAATCCTAGAGTTGGAAGAGAC